CTCGATACGCTTTCAACTCGTTTTTTTAGTCTCGAGCAAGACTGTACGACATTCACATTACACGATTTGACTGATTTTTACGTAGAAAGGGCGACAGCGCACCGCATTAAAAGAAATGATCATTCATGTTTTCATAGCCGCTGGCCAAATTCAAAAACGAAACTAAGATTAAATCATCTTTGAGAGCAAGGGGGCCCCCTGGTGTTTCGGGGGCCCTACGCAGCTTGCATATTTTGCGTATAGGGAGGATCGGGTCTGTGCGGACCATCCGCATGGACACAAAAATTCGGCTACATGCGGACAGCATGCGTGGACGTCCATGGACACTTCTGATGTTGAAAATTCGTCACTCGTACTGTCATGGAACGTGGATGGCCGAAGTACACTTTGGATTGAGTTTTGATTGATTTTTAGCATGTTGCTATGCGGTTGCTAAGGTATTTTGATAGATTTTTAGCACATTTCTTTGCGGTTGCGAAAGCTGCTCTTTTGGCTGGACAAAGCATCACAAACAAGCTCAGTTGCCCAGTTCTCGAAAACAGAAAGTGAATCATAACAAATTTTTTTTAAAGAACTCATGTGCATGTCACTTTTACCACACACACCCAACAACAGCGTCCAAACGCACACCGCAGTAAACGCTCAAGGTCTGAGCAGGGCGTGTCTGTGAACTTACAGACCACTGTGGACTTTAATAGAGCCGGTGTTCTGAGGATGGCTGAAACTGCCCACTTCTTCTGTGTAATCCACATACTCAGAGCTTCTGCCCCTGCCAGCGGGCTCAGTGAACAGCTCTATCCGGGGAGGAGTGTAGTCCTGCAAACGCATATAGGAAAACACAGCGGTCACTCCCGTCACTTTTGACCTTCATAAACCGGTTACTGTGTTCAAAACACTTACTCTGATAGCCAGTCGAATTGAGCCAATGACCACAGATGTCTCTTCACCCTCTTCTGCCCATTGATTGGGCAGTTCTATAACTCCTTCCTCTTCCAGAGCGATGCATCGTCCCTCAAATCCTGGTTTCTCATAAAGTATCCAGCTACGACAAGCCAAAATGCAGTTAAAACTAATCTACTGAAAGGCTCATCATCATGCATGTAGTATTTGTTCTCCAGAGATGCCACTTACCATCCTCTGACCACTTTAATAGATATGACACTGGACAGTTGCATGTGAGTGACATCAGGTTGATCCCTGAAGAACTCAAAGGACTGACCGCTGAACTGATGGTGCTCAAATATCACAATCTGACAGGCACAAAACTTCAAATTAGGGCCCAAGTGCACTTTGCTCACATATTGAAAGCATAAATAAAATGTAAACAACTTTGCTCATGCTATGCAAGCAGAGCAGGTTTTAATATCTGAAATTCTCTGTTAGGTCACGAGTTTGAAATGCTGGCAAACCTTTCCAGGTCGCCGGTGGATTCCGCGAGCAGCTGGAATCTGGAAGACAAAACGCCATGGCTTGTTGTGGTTAAGAGAGTAATGCGGGTAATTGGTTTGCAAATGTTTCATAGTATTTAACCAAGCAGACAAAAACATGATCCAATGATAACCCAAAGATTTTGCCCTTTGTACGTTAAAACTTCAAATCTCTCACATTGTCATGTACAAATATGGACATGCATGAAGAACAAGCAGGCATGCAGAGCGATTGCAGCTATGAACAAATATACTTTTGGCATTTACAAAGAAAATCCACATTGGTGATTGACTCATACATTTGGTAGTTCTCTCTGAGGTTTAGCTTGAGGGATTTGAGCCGCTGGAACTACAGGTGCCGGTGGAATCGTATCTTCTGGGATCTTCCCATCAGCAGCCTTATTCAGATCCACTAGGCCAGGTATGAAAGCACTTTCTCTAGCCACCTAACCAGCAAATACACACACAAATAGATACACACATGATTTAGACACTTGTTCACGCTTATGTGCAATGGAGTTCAAATATGTGACATATTTTGGTTGTGAACAACACTATTGTGAATATCTTAGCACTATGGTATATGAATGTATGCAAGTATGTGTTGTTGCTGTGATGAATTAAGTTATGGCTGACCAGTGGGTCGATCTTATTTGTTGGTTGAGCATTTTCAGGTTCCTTTGGAAGAAATTCCTCCAGGAAACTAGGCAACTTGATGTCATCAAAGGAAGGAAGTGGCGGAGGAGCATTAGCATCTCTTACTTTAGTGACGGTGGGATCTACTGGAGTTGTTTTCAGGGTCGGTCCATCAGGTTGCAGAACAACATCAGAACCAGTCTGGGTACTGATGAGAAGTGGTGGGGCATTAGATTCTGTAAACATAGTGACTGTGGGGTCTCTTGAAGTTGTTCTGAGATCAGGTGTCATGGCAGGTTCATCATCCTTGATGGGTTTTAGAACATATTGTGAACCAGACTGTGTATAACTAGATGTTGGAGGAGCTTTAATGTCTGTCAACATGGTGACTGGAGGGTCTAATGAAGTCGTTTTCAAGTCAGGTGTCAGTGTAGGTCCATCATCTTTCATAGGTTTTGGTACAAACAGGGAACTAGTCTGGGTACCATTGGGAGGAGAAGGAGCTTTAGTGTCTGTTAACATAGTGTCTGTGGTGTCTCCTGAAGTTGTTTTGAGGTCAGGTGTCATGGCAAGTCCATCATCCTTGGTAGGTTTTAGAACAACCTGGGAACCAGACTCGGTACAACTAGGTGGAGGAGCATTAGTGTCTGTTAACATGGTGACTGGAGGGTCTGCTGAATTTGTTTTCAAGTCACGTGCCAGGGTAGGTCCATCATCTTTCGTAGGTTTCGGTACAACCTGGGAACTAGTCTGGGTACCTTTGGGAGGAGAGGGAGCGTTAGTGTCTGTTAAAAGAGTGACTGTGGGGTCTCTTGAAGTTGCTTTGAGGTCAGGTATCACGGCAAGCCCAATGTCCTTGCTAGGTTTTAGAATAACCTGAGAACCAGACTGGGTACCACGGCTGTCATTCTTAGCTAGGGTTTGCTCTACTGGGACCAGTTTAGGTGGTTCTGTAGTTGGTGCTAGTTGTGATTGTGGAGGTGCTGTAGACCCAGAACCATCGCTTGGTGATAACAGCCCATCTGAAGGACACTCAGTGGGGCTTAAAAACTCCATTCGTCTCCCTTTGCTGGGACTGCGTAGAATGCTGACAATTGAGCACCTCTCCAAACGAGACGTTGCCTTCAGTGGTTCTGTTCTATTCTCATCTGATCCCTCCTCTTTTTCTCCCTCTTCTTTTTCAGACCCCTTCCTTGCTCTCTGGAAGATCAGGGACCTTGTGAGGATGCTCTCTCGCTTAGGTTTAGTGTCCGCCTCCTTGACTATTGTGGCTTGACTCTTGGATATCGAACTGGGTGCCAGATCCAAAATGAATTCCCTCCTTCGCCTCAAGCCATGCTGGAACTCCTCCGAATCAAAGGGCTTCTCAAAGCGGTCTTCTTTGATGGCAGGCATGGCAAACGGAGGTGTTTGCAGGCGATGTTTGTTATGTTTGCGTTGAGGAAGATTGAACGGCATTGCTAGCCGTTTCACATTTGTAATGAAGTCATCTGGGTCAAACTCTCCCGATGTGTTCAGGAGGTTGGTCTCACTCACAGAGGAGCTGAGCTTAGGTTCCGAAATCAACAGCTTCTTTCTTATAGGACGTTGGTGATCCACATCAAGCCAGCTAGATGGAGAGTCCCTGCTCTGGGAGGAGCTGCCGGGTGCAGTTGGGATTTGTGGAAGGAGAAAGGGTTTGAGGACGAATTCCTTTTTTCTTGTGGATGGATCCTTAGATTTACTGGAGGAGATCTTCTGTTTTGCTGAGACTTCAAGAGCTGAGGGCTTTTCATTAACTGATTCTGGTGAAGGTGTGGTCTTTCCACTGTCATAGTCTGATGGTGATATGGTCTTTTCTTTGGATGAAGGAAGTGGAGTTATATTCTCTCCATTGATAGAGGTTATTGGGAAGGAGGATGACGCTGGTAGTGGCGTGGTCCTTTCATTTTTAGCAGTGATATCAATGGAGACTGGTGGAGGTTTGTTCTTCTCATCACTGGAGCCTAATGAAGCAGAGATTGTCTCAGTGGTTGAAGCTAGTGGAGGTGCAGCATTTTCTTTAGTTGGGGATTTTGCAGGTGTGGTCTTGTCATTAGTTGAAGCTGGTGAAGGTTTGGTCTTTTCATTAGTTGTCTCATTGGTTGAGGCTGGTGGAGGCATAGTCTCTTCATTATTTGTCTTTCTACTAGCTGAGTCTAATGAAGACGTAGTCTTTTCATTAGTTGAAGCTGGTGGAGTTGTAGTCATTTCATTAGTTAAGTCTGATGGAGGTGTGGTCTTGTCATCACCTGAGCCTAATGTAGTGGAGGTAGACTCAACGGTTGATGATGCAGAATGTGTGGTCTTTTCATTACCTAAGCCAGGCAAAGCAGAGATTGTCTCGTTATTTGAGGCTGGTGGAGGCTTCTTCTTTTTATTAGATGAGGCTGGTGATTGTGCGAGCTTTTCATCAGTTGATGCTAGTAGATACATATCTTTTTCATCAGTTGTCTTTCTATCAGCTGAGTCTGAAGGAGGTGTTGTCTTTGCATTAGTTGAGACTGGTAAACTGGAGATGACCTCATTAGTTGAGGCAGGCAGAGGTTTGTTCTCGTCATCACTGGAGCCTAATGAAGCAGAGATTGTCTCAGTTGTTGTTGCTGGTGGAGGTGTAGTCTTTCCTTTAGCTGAGACATGTAAAGTGGAGGTTTTCTCGTTGGTTGAGGCTTGTGGGGAGGTGGTCTTTTCGATAGTCGTCCTTTTGTTAGCTGACTCTGATGGAGTTTTGTTCTTTTCATTAGTTGAGGCAGGCAGAGTTTTGTTCTTGTCATCAGTGGAGCCTAATGAAGCAGAGATTGTCTCAGTTGTTGTTCCTGGTGGAGGTGTAGTCTTTCCTTCAGTTGAGGCAGGTAAAGTGGAGGTTTTCTCATTGGTTGAGGCTTGTGGGGTCTTTTCGATAGTTGTTGGTTTTTCAGGTGTGGTTGTTGCATTGGGTGAGGCTGCTGGGGGAGTGGTCTTTTCATTAGTTGTTTTTTTATTAGCTGAGTTTGATAGAGTTGTGTTGTTGTTATCACTTGAGGCTGGTAAACTGAAGGCCGTATCATCTGTTGAGGCTGGTTTAGCGGTAAACTTTTTACTGACCTGGCCAGACTGCTCGGTGGATGCTTCAGTGGCTTCGGATGAAAATGAGCTCAGAGATAGACTTTCATTATTGGATGGTATTTCAGGTAAGGTATTTCCAAGTATTTCTTCTCCAGACTGCTTAAGACTGTCAGATAACTGATCTCCTGTCTCTACAGAGTGTATATCGCCATTCACTTTGGATGTCGTTTCTGTGCTGGTGATTTTACTCTTGGTTTCTTTGGTGCCTCCCTTTTTAGTTTCAGTGCCAGGCTTTTGTTGTTGCAAATCCCTTTTACTAGATACCGTCTGTGTCTTCTGTTCTTCTCCGCTCTCTGATTGGCTCTGTGGGGGCGGCCCATCTCTTTTGGGACCGCCTCCCTCTGTAGGTGCAATTTGAGGTGAAATTATGCTGTCCATTTGGTCATTTTGGTCCAGTGCAGGGTTTGGTGTTGCCGGTGTCTTGCTTGTAGAAGTGGTGTTTTCTTTAGTCTGATCGGACAATTCAGCGCAAGAGTTTTTCTCAGTAGTCTGAGTTTCTTTGCCTTGACTGGTTGCCATAATTGTTGTGTCTTCCTGTCTCACAGCAGAGGTGTCCTTTGATTTACCTTGTTTTGATTTACCTTCTACTTTCTGCTCGGTTGGCTTTGATGTATTGACTTCATTATGTTTGTGTGTCTCAGTTGTTTCTGTAACAAGGTCGTATTTCTGGTTCTGACTGGTAATCTCAGTCAAACAGTCTTTTTCTTGACTCTTTTGGTTAATCTTTGACAGTCTTTGTGCCGATTTTGAGTTATTTTCAGGGGTGTTTTCCGCTTTAGACACAAACGCAGTGGTGTCTTTCTCAGGTAAGACCAGCGTATCCGTCTCACTCCCTCTGTTTCGCATGGCATCATTCCTAAAGGGTGCAGCGCTGCTATTGGCTGGCTCAGAGGAGTCTTTAGATCTGGCCTCCTTCAGGTCATCTGGGGACGGTGGTTTTTCATGTTTTGTCACAGATGGATCTGGTTTCCCTGACTCTCCAAACAATGAGTTTACAATCAAGTCTCTGTTCCTCTGCTCGTCTCCCTGCTCTCCTTCTGAGCACTGCTTTTTGTTGCTGTTTTTTTGTTTCTCTTTCATTTTTGAGTCGATGTCGGTCCGTATCTTCTCTTTATTTGAGCTGTTCTTTCTGGATATAGAAGGATGTGTATCAGAAGCCACTATCTGTGCTTCAAAGTCACCGCTATTCCCTCTCTCCTCATCCTTGCTTTTCACTTCTGTAGGAACTTTTGTGTCAGCATGTGAAGTCTTCTTTGAGTCAGATTTTTTCTTTGTGCTTTGCATAATTTCTGCTGCTTTCTCCAACTTCGGAGGAACTGTAGGTTTTTTGCTTGCGACCTCCCCAGCAGAGTTGGGTCTTTCTTTATTAGAAGTGCTCGGCTCTGTGGTCTTTACCACGTCTCTTGCATCTACAAGAGGTTTGTCCTTGTTGTCCTTGACCTCCTGTTTACCTTGACCCATTTCTTGTTTAGTGGGGCTCAGCAGATCTTTGCCTCGACGTTTTTTCGATCGCGTGCCTGTCCGGTTTGGTGATTTCACCTGCGGTGTCTCATCAGTAGGTGATGAAACCGTCGGGAGAGAATCTGCCTCTTTATTCCCAATGTTTGAGTCACTTGTGCTCTCTAACAATGCAGGTGTTGCATTGTAGGATTTAGAGTCTGTTTGATCTATAGTTAAATGAGGTTTGGATTTAACCTTTGGCTCTCCGCTGGTATCCGTCTTTGCTGTAGATTTTTCAAAACGTCCAGAATAAGATATTTCAGCCGTTTTTGAATGTCCTTCGTTCAACGTACGACCAGACGGCAACGTCAGCTTCTGTTCCCCCCTTCGCCCCGCGCTGAGATTCTTCGCCCTCTCTTTAACCGTTTGGTTTGGAGGTGCAGAACTGGACCGCGTTCCGGCATGTTCTGTGAAATCTCTGAGACGACTGGCCACATTTCGAGCTGGAGAAATATCCAGGCGAAGCAGGTTTGTGGAGCTACTAACTGCACTGGTGGCTCCTCTCTCGAACAGACTGATTTTGTCTGCGATTCGGGCCTTGTGATGACTGGACTTTACATTGGTGCCGTCTACTCTGTCCTCTGGAAATCTGTAAAATATCAAAGAATAAAGGTCAAAACTGGTTCAAATATCAAGTTCACAAGTCCCCAGGAGTTAATGAAGAAATTTTTATTTATTTTTTTTACCATTTTTGTAATTTGCACTATTGATGACGTACAATTTTATATCTACACTGTTATATGTATAAATTTTTTTCCCCCAATTTTTTTCAATTGTTTTTTTTTTATTTACTTATATATATATATATGTGAATCATAACAAATTTTTTTTAAAGAACTCATGTGCATGTCACTTTTACCACACACACCCAACAACAGCGTCCAAACGCACACCGCAGTAAACGCTCAAGGTCTGAGCAGGGCGTGTCTGTGAACTTACAGACCACTGTGGACTTTAATAGAGCCGGTGTTCTGAGGATGGCTGAAACTGCCCACTTCTTCTGTGTAATCCACATACTCAGAGCTTCTGCCCCTGCCAGCGGGCTCAGTGAACAGCTCTATCCGGGGAGGAGTGTAGTCCTGCAAACGCATATAGGAAAACACAGCGGTCACTCCCGTCACTTTTGACCTTCATAAACCGGTTACTGTGTTCAAAACACTTACTCTGATAGCCAGTCGAATTGAGCCAATGACCACAGATGTCTCTTCACCCTCTTCTGCCCATTGATTGGGCAGTTCTATAACTCCTTCCTCTTCCAGAGCGATGCATCGTCCCTCAAATCCTGGTTTCTCATAAAGTATCCAGCTACGACAAGCCAAAATGCAGTTAAAACTAATCTACTGAAAGGCTCATCATCATGCATGTAGTATTTGTTCTCCAGAGATGCCACTTACCATCCTCTGACCACTTTAATAGATATGACACTGGACAGTTGCATGTGAGTGACATCAGGTTGATCCCTGAAGAACTCAAAGGACTGACCGCTGAACTGATGGTGCTCAAATATCACAATCTGACAGGCACAAAACTTCAAATTAGGGCCCAAGTGCACTTTGCTCACATATTGAAAGCATAAATAAAATGTAAACAACTTTGCTCATGCTATGCAAGCAGAGCAGGTTTTAATATCTGAAATTCTCTGTTAGGTCACGAGTTTGAAATGCTGGCAAACCTTTCCAGGTCGCCGGTGGATTCCGCGAGCAGCTGGAATCTGGAAGACAAAACGCCATGGCTTGTTGTGGTTAAGAGAGTAATGCGGGTAATTGGTTTGCAAATGTTTCATAGTATTTAACCAAGCAGACAAAAACATGATCCAATGATAACCCAAAGATTTTGCCCTTTGTACGTTAAAACTTCAAATCTCTCACATTGTCATGTACAAATATGGACATGCATGAAGAACAAGCAGGCATGCAGAGCGATTGCAGCTATGAACAAATATACTTTTGGCATTTACAAAGAAAATCCACATTGGTGATTGACTCATACATTTGGTAGTTCTCTCTGAGGTTTAGCTTGAGGGATTTGAGCCGCTGGAACTACAGGTGCCGGTGGAATCGTATCTTCTGGGATCTTCCCATCAGCAGCCTTATTCAGATCCACTAGGCCAGGTATGAAAGCACTTTCTCTAGCCACCTAACCAGCAAATACACACACAAATAGATACACACATGATTTAGACACTTGTTCACGCTTATGTGCAATGGAGTTCAAATATGTGACATATTTTGGTTGTGAACAACACTATTGTGAATATCTTAGCACTATGGTATATGAATGTATGCAAGTATGTGTTGTTGCTGTGATGAATTAAGTTATGGCTGACCAGTGGGTCGATCTTATTTGTTGGTTGAGCATTTTCAGGTTCCTTTGGAAGAAATTCCTCCAGGAAACTAGGCAACTTGATGTCATCAAAGGAAGGAAGTGGCGGAGGAGCATTAGCATCTCTTACTTTAGTGACGGTGGGATCTACTGGAGTTGTTTTCAGGGTCGGTCCATCAGGTTGCAGAACAACATCAGAACCAGTCTGGGTACTGATGAGAAGTGGTGGGGCATTAGATTCTGTAAACATAGTGACTGTGGGGTCTCTTGAAGTTGTTCTGAGATCAGGTGTCATGGCAGGTTCATCATCCTTGATGGGTTTTAGAACATATTGTGAACCAGACTGTGTATAACTAGATGTTGGAGGAGCTTTAATGTCTGTCAACATGGTGACTGGAGGGTCTAATGAAGTCGTTTTCAAGTCAGGTGTCAGTGTAGGTCCATCATCTTTCATAGGTTTTGGTACAAACAGGGAACTAGTCTGGGTACCATTGGGAGGAGAAGGAGCTTTAGTGTCTGTTAACATAGTGTCTGTGGTGTCTCCTGAAGTTGTTTTGAGGTCAGGTGTCATGGCAAGTCCATCATCCTTGGTAGGTTTTAGAACAACCTGGGAACCAGACTCGGTACAACTAGGTGGAGGAGCATTAGTGTCTGTTAACATGGTGACTGGAGGGTCTGCTGAATTTGTTTTCAAGTCACGTGCCAGGGTAGGTCCATCATCTTTCGTAGGTTTCGGTACAACCTGGGAACTAGTCTGGGTACCTTTGGGAGGAGAGGGAGCGTTAGTGTCTGTTAAAAGAGTGACTGTGGGGTCTCTTGAAGTTGCTTTGAGGTCAGGTATCACGGCAAGCCCAATGTCCTTGCTAGGTTTTAGAATAACCTGAGAACCAGACTGGGTACCACGGCTGTCATTCTTAGCTAGGGTTTGCTCTACTGGGACCAGTTTAGGTGGTTCTGTAGTTGGTGCTAGTTGTGATTGTGGAGGTGCTGTAGACCCAGAACCATCGCTTGGTGATAACAGCCCATCTGAAGGACACTCAGTGGGGCTTAAAAACTCCATTCGTCTCCCTTTGCTGGGACTGCGTAGAATGCTGACAATTGAGCACCTCTCCAAACGAGACGTTGCCTTCAGTGGTTCTGTTCTATTCTCATCTGATCCCTCCTCTTTTTCTCCCTCTTCTTTTTCAGACCCCTTCCTTGCTCTCTGGAAGATCAGGGACCTTGTGAGGATGCTCTCTCGCTTAGGTTTAGTGTCCGCCTCCTTGACTATTGTGGCTTGACTCTTGGATATCGAACTGGGTGCCAGATCCAAAATGAATTCCCTCCTTCGCCTCAAGCCATGCTGGAACTCCTCCGAATCAAAGGGCTTCTCAAAGCGGTCTTCTTTGATGGCAGGCATGGCAAACGGAGGTGTTTGCAGGCGATGTTTGTTATGTTTGCGTTGAGGAAGATTGAACGGCATTGCTAGCCGTTTCACATTTGTAATGAAGTCATCTGGGTCAAACTCTCCCGATGTGTTCAGGAGGTTGGTCTCACTCACAGAGGAGCTGAGCTTAGGTTCCGAAATCAACAGCTTCTTTCTTATAGGACGTTGGTGATCCACATCAAGCCAGCTAGATGGAGAGTCCCTGCTCTGGGAGGAGCTGCCGGGTGCAGTTGGGATTTGTGGAAGGAGAAAGGGTTTGAGGACGAATTCCTTTTTTCTTGTGGATGGATCCTTAGATTTACTGGAGGAGATCTTCTGTTTTGCTGAGACTTCAAGAGCTGAGGGCTTTTCATTAACTGATTCTGGTGAAGGTGTGGTCTTTCCACTGTCATAGTCTGATGGTGATATGGTCTTTTCTTTGGATGAAGGAAGTGGAGTTATATTCTCTCCATTGATAGAGGTTATTGGGAAGGAGGATGACGCTGGTAGTGGCGTGGTCCTTTCATTTTTAGCAGTGATATCAATGGAGACTGGTGGAGGTTTGTTCTTCTCATCACTGGAGCCTAATGAAGCAGAGATTGTCTCAGTGGTTGAAGCTAGTGGAGGTGCAGCATTTTCTTTAGTTGGGGATTTTGCAGGTGTGGTCTTGTCATTAGTTGAAGCTGGTGAAGGTTTGGTCTTTTCATTAGTTGTCTCATTGGTTGAGGCTGGTGGAGGCATAGTCTCTTCATTATTTGTCTTTCTACTAGCTGAGTCTAATGAAGACGTAGTCTTTTCATTAGTTGAAGCTGGTGGAGTTGTAGTCATTTCATTAGTTAAGTCTGATGGAGGTGTGGTCTTGTCATCACCTGAGCCTAATGTAGTGGAGGTAGACTCAACGGTTGATGATGCAGAATGTGTGGTCTTTTCATTACCTAAGCCAGGCAAAGCAGAGATTGTCTCGTTATTTGAGGCTGGTGGAGGCTTCTTCTTTTTATTAGATGAGGCTGGTGATTGTGCGAGCTTTTCATCAGTTGATGCTAGTAGATACATATCTTTTTCATCAGTTGTCTTTCTATCAGCTGAGTCTGAAGGAGGTGTTGTCTTTGCATTAGTTGAGACTGGTAAACTGGAGATGACCTCATTAGTTGAGGCAGGCAGAGGTTTGTTCTCGTCATCACTGGAGCCTAATGAAGCAGAGATTGTCTCAGTTGTTGTTGCTGGTGGAGGTGTAGTCTTTCCTTTAGCTGAGACATGTAAAGTGGAGGTTTTCTCGTTGGTTGAGGCTTGTGGGGAGGTGGTCTTTTCGATAGTCGTCCTTTTGTTAGCTGACTCTGATGGAGTTTTGTTCTTTTCATTAGTTGAGGCAGGCAGAGTTTTGTTCTTGTCATCAGTGGAGCCTAATGAAGCAGAGATTGTCTCAGTTGTTGTTCCTGGTGGAGGTGTAGTCTTTCCTTCAGTTGAGGCAGGTAAAGTGGAGGTTTTCTCATTGGTTGAGGCTTGTGGGGTCTTTTCGATAGTTGTTGGTTTTTCAGGTGTGGTTGTTGCATTGGGTGAGGCTGCTGGGGGAGTGGTCTTTTCATTAGTTGTTTTTTTATTAGCTGAGTTTGATAGAGTTGTGTTGTTGTTATCACTTGAGGCTGGTAAACTGAAGGCCGTATCATCTGTTGAGGCTGGTTTAGCGGTAAACTTTTTACTGACCTGGCCAGACTGCTCGGTGGATGCTTCAGTGGCTTCGGATGAAAATGAGCTCAGAGATAGACTTTCATTATTGGATGGTATTTCAGGTAAGGTATTTCCAAGTATTTCTTCTCCAGACTGCTTAAGACTGTCAGATAACTGATCTCCTGTCTCTACAGAGTGTATATCGCCATTCACTTTGGATGTCGTTTCTGTGCTGGTGATTTTACTCTTGGTTTCTTTGGTGCCTCCCTTTTTAGTTTCAGTGCCAGGCTTTTGTTGTTGCAAATCCCTTTTACTAGATACCGTCTGTGTCTTCTGTTCTTCTCCGCTCTCTGATTGGCTCTGTGGGGGCGGCCCATCTCTTTTGGGACCGCCTCCCTCTGTAGGTGCAATTTGAGGTGAAATTATGCTGTCCATTTGGTCATTTTGGTCCAGTGCAGGGTTTGGTGTTGCCGGTGTCTTGCTTGTAGAAGTGGTGTTTTCTTTAGTCTGATCGGACAATTCAGCGCAAGAGTTTTTCTCAGTAGTCTGAGTTTCTTTGCCTTGACTGGTTGCCATAATTGTTGTGTCTTCCTGTCTCACAGCAGAGGTGTCCTTTGATTTACCTTGTTTTGATTTACCTTCTACTTTCTGCTCGGTTGGCTTTGATGTATTGACTTCATTATGTTTGTGTGTCTCAGTTGTTTCTGTAACAAGGTCGTATTTCTGGTTCTGACTGGTAATCTCAGTCAAACAGTCTTTTTCTTGACTCTTTTGGTTAATCTTTGACAGTCTTTGTGCCGATTTTGAGTTATTTTCAGGGGTGTTTTCCGCTTTAGACACAAACGCAGTGGTGTCTTTCTCAGGTAAGACCAGCGTATCCGTCTCACTCCCTCTGTTTCGCATGGCATCATTCCTAAAGGGTGCAGCGCTGCTATTGGCTGGCTCAGAGGAGTCTTTAGATCTGGCCTCCTTCAGGTCATCTGGGGACGGTGGTTTTTCATGTTTTGTCACAGATGGATCTGGTTTCCCTGACTCTCCAAACAATGAGTTTACAATCAAGTCTCTGTTCCTCTGCTCGTCTCCCTGCTCTCCTTCTGAGCACTGCTTTTTGTTGCTGTTTTTTTGTTTCTCTTTCATTTTTGAGTCGATGTCGGTCCGTATCTTCTCTTTATTTGAGCTGTTCTTTCTGGATATAGAAGGATGTGTATCAGAAGCCACTATCTGTGCTTCAAAGTCACCGCTATTCCCTCTCTCCTCATCCTTGCTTTTCACTTCTGTAGGAACTTTTGTGTCAGCATGTGAAGTCTTCTTTGAGTCAGATTTTTTCTTTGTGCTTTGCATAATTTCTGCTGCTTTCTCCAACTTCGGAGGAACTGTAGGTTTTTTGCTTGCGACCTCCCCAGCAGAGTTGGGTCTTTCTTTATTAGAAGTGCTCGGCTCTGTGGTCTTTACCACGTCTCTTGCATCTACAAGAGGTTTGTCCTTGTTGTCCTTGACCTCCTGTTTACCTTGACCCATTTCTTGTTTAGTGGGGCTCAGCAGATCTTTGCCTCGACGTTTTTTCGATCGCGTGCCTGTCCGGTTTGGTGATTTCACCTGCGGTGTCTCATCAGTAGGTGATGAAACCGTCGGGAGAGAATCTGCCTCTTTATTCCCAATGTTTGAGTCACTTGTGCTCTCTAACAATGCAGGTGTTGCATTGTAGGATTTAGAGTCTGTTTGATCTATAGTTAAATGAGGTTTGGATTTAACCTTTGGCTCTCCGCTGGTATCCGTCTTTGCTGTAGATTTTTCAAAACGTCCAGAATAAGATATTTCAGCCGTTTTTGAATGTCCTTCGTTCAACGTACGACCAGACGGCAACGTCAGCTTCTGTTCCCCCCTTCGCCCCGCGCTGAGATTCTTCGCCCTCTCTTTAACCGTTTGGTTTGGAGGTGCAGAACTGGACCGCGTTCCGGCATGTTCTGTGAAATCTCTGAGACGACTGGCCACATTTCGAGCTGGAGAAATATCCAGGCGAAGCAGGTTTGTGGAGCTACTAACTGCACTGGTGGCTCCTCTCTCGAACAGACTGATTTTGTCTGCGATTCGGGCCTTGTGATGACTGGACTTTACATTGGTGCCGTCTACTCTGTCCTCTGGAAATCTGTAAAATATCAAAGAATAAAGGTCAAAACTGGTTCAAATATCAAGTTCACAAGTCCCCAGGAGTTAATGAAGAAATTTTTATTTATTTTTTTTACCATTTTTGTAATTTGCACTATTGATGACGTACAATTTTATATCTACACTGTTATATGTATAAATTTTTTTCCCCCAATTTTTTTCAATTGTTTTTTTTTTATTTACTTATATATATATATATATATATATATATATATATATTATAAACTGTATATGTTTTTTGTTATTCCCCCCCCCTTTCTCTCTCTCTCTTTGTAACAAGAGGTTAGTCTTAGCCACACCCACATATTAACCAGCTGTCTTTGATGATTCATTAATTAACACCAGTTTAAGAATACCTGTCTGAGCAAATGATGTGTGTCCTGAAGAAGGCTGTTTTGCCGAAACGCATAGATCTACTTTTAACTAGTTGTAATGATTTAAGCCCAGTTCATTTTTCATTTCATTTTTATTTCACCACGTGAGTGCCTTGGAAGTATTTCGTCTACATAATCAAGTTCACATTATTCATATTAGCATCCACTCCCTTTGTTAGCTGTTGACTCATTGTCTTTCTTTCCACTTTCTCTCGCTTTGTCTACTCTTCAGTTCTTTCTCTGCTTGCTTCTCTGCAAGCCACAAATCCATTAAGAAACTGAATTCCCCTTCTTTGCAGGGTTTCTGCAAGATTTATGAAGGCAAATTTAAGACTTCTTAAAGAAAGTTAAGGAATAAGTTAAAGGGAACACAATTCTAAAAATGTAAACGTCTGAGAACAAAATTAGTTGAATTAGCAAGACTTCAAAGTATGAAAATACAACTTCCAGCAGGTCTCCATTGCTTTTTGATTCCTTTTACACACAAAAAATAGTTCAACTATGGAAATCACTCTTAATGTACCTTTTGATCACACTGCAAAAAAAGTATAATGTTCTTTTTGTATTTTTGTCATTTTCCAGTGCAAATGTCTAAAAAAATCAAATCAAGTTGGATGCTAAAAAGATATATGAAGTCTTGTTTTTTTGAGAAATGTATACAAATGGGGTGAATTTATGATAAAGGACAAATATCAGCCCACAAGCTCAGAAATATCAACTTAATTCAAAAGGAAAACAAGTTTTAATTCCCCATTGACAGATTTGTTCTTGCTTTAGGCGTAAACTCACTTAATTTTGTTCAGTTCATTTCTTCACTTAGTATCTCCAGTAAATGTATCTTGATTTAAGGATGTTTAGATATTTGTACTGGAAAACAAGACAGAAATACTGACATTTGCATTGCGTGCAACACTGCCATGATTTTATGAATTTAAGACTTTCTGCTCCAATTTAAGACCTTGATTTGTGGAAGGGGCGAATTATACTTTAATATACGTCAAAATATCTCCTTTTGTTTTCAGCAAAAGAAAACCGTAGCAGGTTGGAATGGCGGTTATTTTTAGGTGAACTATCCCTTTAAGAGCTGCTGATGCATACAGAAGAAAAATGCAAGGCTGACATCTAGAAAAACTGGCATTTAACTATGTAAACACTTAATTGTTATGAAAAAGCTCTTTTCAATGCAGATAGCTCGTGGAACCAGGTCAGGATCATTAACCAGCAGGTTATTTTTAATGTTTACAGCCCAGAGGAATGACAAGTACCTGATAGCCAACTAAGAGAACGTATTTCACAACATGACGCATGATGCTTTGTCCTGATAATCTTTAAGAAAGATTTCCGACGCTTCCGATTCAAGTCCAAACAGCAACTTTTGCATTAAAAGGCTCTCAGATCAAATCAAACCCAAGATTATTGTACGTTATTCCTGTAAGCACAGCGATAAACAGGTCAAACAGGTAAATTTACCTGGCTCTTTCATCAGATCTCGGCCGTTTGGTGTCTTTAAAAGTCAGATTTTGTTCTTCATTTTGGTCCTCCGAGGCGACCACCACCTTTTTAGCGAAGACCACCTCGCTGTGAGACACTTTGATGCTCCTGCGTTTGGATTCGGCGCTCTCCGTCAGCCTCACCACCCGTTCCTCGTCCATATCTGAATAAACCAGCGCCGCTTGGACGAGCGAATCCGGCGAGTTCGGCAAATCAGCGTCTTCGCTCAGGCTCGCTTGGGCCCATTCCTCTCGGACGACATCCTCACGGTTACCTGAGTTTGGCACTTCTGCTCCGGAGGCTCCTGGAAGGCTGTTTGCCGCCTCAAAAGCTGAGTCAGCGCATGCTTTCCGCGGGCCGCTCGTCAAACTGGTTGCTTCAGGGCTTTCAGGTTGGGGATTGGTTGGGGATTTAGCTCCGCCCCCATCTCCGTGAGAGCTCCGCCTCCTCCTGCCAGATCTCCTCCGTCCCATTTGTTCAAAGAGTTCAGGTGGCCTTCTCCTCTCAAGCGACCGACTGCGTTCGAGTCTCAGATGTTTGGCATTCCGGTCGAGGGTTGGGCTCGCCTCTGCGGGATCTGTCTCGTCTGCTCTGGTTTCTCCGTGGTCCTCCTCTTGCTGTGTTTGGGACGTGGGATCATCTCTGCCCCAACCCCACGACAGCCAGCTCCCGATGCGACTCAACACCCCTGGGCTGCGCTCCTGTGGACTCTCAGCCTGCAAACACACACACAAACACATGTGAAATCCTGAGAGTCTGATCTGTAACACACACCAGGGGCAGAAATTAAGGGGCAAAATTTGCCCCCGGAAATTAACCTGCATAATTACCTTATGCATATGTGTTATTTTTATCTCAAATATTTACATTTGTGACCCTGGAGCACAAAAGCAGTCTTAAGTCGCTGGGGTATATTTGTAGCAATAGCCGACAATACATTGTATGGGTCAAAATTATAAATTTTTCTTTTATGTCATTAAGGATATTAAGTAAAGATCATGTCCCATGAAGATATTTTGTAAACTTCCTACCGTAAATATATCAAAACTTCATTTTTGATTAGTAATATGCATTGCTAAGAACTTAATTTGAACAACTTTAAAGATGATTTTCTCAATATTTAGATTTTTTTGCTCCCTCAGATTCCAGATTTTCAAATAGTTGTATCTCAGCCAAATATTGTCCGATTCTAACAAACCATACATCAATGGAAAGCTTATTTATTCAGCTTTCAGATTTTGCATAAATCCCAATTTCGTAAAATTGACCCTTATGACTGGTTCTGTGGTCCAGGGTCACATTTAACCGGTTACTTTAATCATTCACATGTATATAGACTGTTACATCAACAAAAGCCATCGTTACACTGCAGATGTGGAACAGAACCGGCATCTGACATGGCATTTATGGGCGCTTTCGAAGCACTGCTTCACGAAGCTTCGAAACCTTTGTGAATGGTTTCGAATCAGTGCTTCGGAGCGCATATCAAACTGCCAAAGTCACATGATTTCAGCAAATGAGGCTTAGTTTCGAAATTTCAATGGTTCAGTTGAACCGGTTTTTACCAGATCTCAGATCGGTTTGATAAATTTGTAGACATTTTTAATGATTCATTAATTAAAAAAGAAGTTAATAGTTCCTGATTGGCCTGTTTAGACAAGTCCTCCATAAAACAAACAAAACGAGTTTTGTTGTTGTATGGTGTTTCGAGTGCCCGGAACAGTTAATAATTTTGCGAAGCAATTGGTTCAATTGATACAAAGCTTCGAAAAGGTTTGTTTCCCCCATCACTGGTTAATTGCTCTTAACTTGTTCATTAAATGCTAACATGCTAATTGGAAATGCTTTGAATGAGTAAACCAATATAAACTAAGCTCATGCTCGAAATTATAGTCTAAAGTTAAAAAAACAGAGATTTTCACCAAATAACGTTGCAAATCAGAGCCAAAATTGGTGCAAAAGTCGACTACGTCAGCCTTAATTCTTGGAAACAAAGTTGCAGGATTTTGAAAAATGTAAAACATATAGGATGCAAAACCCTAAATGTCTAATATTCTGCACTATTTCTAGGTCACTGATGAGTCTGATCATGCAAGTGCTGCTGTCATCAAAGCAAAAGACCAAACACAAAAACATTCTCAAACTCATGGTCATTTTTCAATTCAACTTTTCGCTCAAATTGTGGTTATCGTGTAGTTTGTGATGAAAAACAGCATTCAGAAATGCAACATAGAAGCATTTGCACAAGCAAAGCCCACTAATCTGCCATTTAATCAGCCTCAGCTTACAGTTGTTAGTAAAAAACAAAAACAGACACATAAATCCCTCAATATAACTATGCTAAACACAGTTTCTGGTACTAAAACGGTGATAACCATCACTGTCATTGAAGCTTAAAAGGATAGTTTCAACAAAAAATGAAAATTCTGCTAAACAGCCATTGACTTCCATAGCATGGGGGAAAAAAGCCAGACAATGGCTACCGCCAACTATTTGGTTACCAGCATTCTTCAAAGTATATTTTTATCAGAGTATCAGAAGGAAGAAACTCATACAGGTTTTGGGACAACCTTTTTTTTTTTTTTGGTGTACTGTCACTTTAAGGAGAAATGGCGTCATATTCTAAAACAAGTATTTTGGGAATGGCTAATAAAAGAAGGCATTATTCAAAGTTTAACTTTATGTCTAATAACTTTGATCAAAGTGTTCTCGCTCTATAGAAATACAGTCTGAGAGAACAGACGCGAATGAAACATTTCGTTACAGTTACAGGACTGAGAACAAATAAAAACGAGGAAAAGTATGAATAGGAAACAAAGTGCATGCTATTCTCAAATGTCGTTCTACAGAATCTCATGCAGTCATTAGGCTGATATTCATCAGAGCTGTTGAGAAACTCACGGTCTGCGGCGAGCGAAACACCCAGAGGAGCGCGTCTTTCGTGAAGTGATCCAGCCCTGCGGCTCAGCGGAGCTCCGGATCGATCAAAGCGATCAGACGAGCGGCTCATTAACGGAGGCTTCGGGCGATGGTTAATTATGAGTGCGCTGCAGCACGCGCGCGGAGAGAGACGGAGGGAGGCAGAGCTGGATTGGGTTTCAGAGGATCAGATGAACCGAATCCAACACAATGAACAAGAGCACATTCAGAAACGCGTTTCCAAGCTCCCAAAGCGAATTTACATAGCCTACATTTCACAACAACAACGATGCTCAGTTCAGCACACATGCGCTATTGTTCAGTTATTATACGCTTATTAAATATACATAAATAACTGTTTTCATTATTATGATGCTTAGTTTGATTTGGAAAAATCTGAAACGTTTACAGCACATCATCTCTCTTTAAAGCACGTGTAAACAATGTTTTAAAAGTTGCTACAATATCAAACAGTATACACGTTCTACGTTTATGGAATCTTCTTATATTTGATAAACATTCAAAGCATTCTTTGGATTTCTCAACATTCTCAAAAGTCTCATTTGTAGCTACTTGATGAACGTTCTAGGAAACGCTTTCTGTAACCTTTGAATACCATTCTAAGCATGACAGGAATACTGCACATTTGATTAACATTCCTAGGATATTACAAATAAATGTTTAAATAATGTTTTATATATTGGGTGAGTAGAACATCATGCAAAACGTTTTTGCAACCTTTAAACAACGTTCTAACCATGACAAGAAAACTGCACATTTTAACGTTTTAGCGACATGTTAAAACAATGTTCCCACAACGTTTTCATCACCTAAATTTGTAACCTGGAACCTGTAGATGTTTTTTTTTTTAAAGAACAGCAGGTTAAGTGAAACCTGCAAAACTCTTGTGGTATAATTTCCTAAGGATAATAATCAAGATATTTAGATCAAATCCACGCATGCATGCATTCGCCTCGTCCATTATTAAAACAAATGCAGAGAGACTCACAGCTGTTGAAAGTATCGCTGGAGATGAATCATATCAGATGGATCTGATGCTGGAGTTCTCGTGTAAAGAAAGAGAAAGCTCAAACGCCCGCGCTAATTATTTACCTGAGCGTCACACCCACAGCTTTAATGCTCAAGTACAGACCTGTTCAGACGGATTCTCACTCAAACACAAACCCATTCTGACCAGTCAAGTGTGTAAACAAGGAGAAACGTGCCAGCTTACCATGATCCAGCGGGTCAGGACATCAGCATCAGCTCCTGAAGAAATCTCACCCACTTTATATGCTCACAAACCCGAATAATGTCACCTGTGTGAGTCCACTGTCAGAGGAACAGGTGTGAGGCCAGAGAACGCGACAGGTATGACGGCTGTTGTGCAACGACACACACACACACTGAATTATTAATGCATGCAGGCCTCCACACCCACGGTTAGACTTTGGCGTCGACACCAGAGTCTAAGTGCTTTAATGAGCAGGGAAACAAATGAAGAATCTCGCAGCGTTCACACGCGTCTTTGGAAACTTGCTTCGACTTGATGTTTTTACAGCGTGACAGACTGGTTAATGAAGTTTCCCTTTCATGGGAACTTCGAACTGCGTCCTCTAGGTTCCCCATAGCGACCCCTAGAGGACGCAGTGTCTCATTCCCTACTCAGGGAACCATGGTTACATAAGTAACCTGAGACGTTCCCTTTCACGGGAACTTCGAACTGCGTCCTCTAGGTTCCCCATAGCGACCCCTAGAGGACGCAGTGTCTCATTCCCTACTCAGGGAACCATGGTTACATAAGTAACCTGAGACGTTCCCTTTCACGGGAACTTCGAACTGCGTCCTCTAGGTTCCCCATAGCGACCCCTAGAGGACGCAGTGTCTCATTCCCTACTCAGGGAACCATGGTTACATAAGTAACCTGAGATGTTTTTGGGTCATTAGTCTACTCTCCAATGGCTGCTTTCATTTCACCTGCAAGAGGAATATATTAAAAAAGCACATGTATTTGTAACAAAACTAGTAACTCAAGCCTGGTCCTGGACAGCGAATGCAGTTTTGCAGAAATGAATGAGTCAGTAATAACCAGCAAGAAATATGTATTGGTGGATCTTCAGTTGTGCATCCGAGTATTGATATAACATATGTGTAATACATTTTAGAACGTATTTTTAATTGTATTTCATCTTGTATGTGTCTTTGTGTTTGCTATTTTGGCCATTTTACATTTATTATGCTGTTATTTATTTATACTGGGCTCTCCGCAAAACAGATATACATGCAAGTTATATTTGCATATTCCCGCGCTTCTAAAAATGATTCTAAAAATGTCTTGCGCTGAACTTTAAAACGCCATTTCACCTGTGTTTGAGTGTATATATATATATATATACACATACACACCCATAATAAGGCAAAACAAGCAGAACTTCCAAAAAAAAAGTGCACAATTCCCAGCTTTGTTTTGCTAACGTTCCCATTTAGTTATGAAAACATTATTTCTTTATGTTCTCTGAACATTCAAAACGTCCATGCGAACGTTAAGGGAACATTCCATTTAGTTTTGCAAACATTATAGGAACGTTACATTACAAGTAGTAACATTTAAAAAAAAAAACATTAGATGAATGTCCAACTAAAACATTTAAGGAAGAAAAAAACATTCCATTAATGATGTAGATATACACCCACGTTTTGAGACCAGATGACTGAACAAACGTTCTATAGTATGAAGGTTAGCCTACTGGAGGAAGGTTTGCTGCTGCTATGGCGCCTGTAAGATTAACTCTCATTTACAGTAGAGCTGGAAAAACGGATGTTTAACCCTTTCCTCAATACATCACATTCA